CCCTCTCTATTTCCAGTTGGCAGAACGACTTTTAGTTAATTAGCGTTCGCGCTAGCCGACCTCGTCCAGCCATTCTTACGCTCGCGATCCCGTTAGAGTCGTCGAGCGTTATCGGAAATTTGAAACGAACAATGTCGAGCGTGTCGCGGGTGATAGATGGCCGTTGTTCCTCGTCGTTTCTGGCACGAAGACGCTCGTTTAGCGGCGATGTCAGCTGCATCGCACGCGCGCGTAAGGGAGAACGGGATAATTAGGTGTACGCCAAGCTGGTGGAAGCGAGTAAACGGCTTGTAAAGCGAGACGCGGCACGGGCTAATTTGTGGGAGCCCCGTTGCTTCATGCTTCTTCCTTTTTTGTAATTAGTCGCCGGCCAAAGAGCTTCGTTAGTTTCTTACGGTTAAGGGGACGATGGATTTTAGAGTGAAACGTTTCAGTTTGCGATTCTTATTTTTTAATAAATTATTGCTGTCTCTTCGTGTCTTTTCTATAATAAAGCTCTTCTTTGTTTTTATATGTACTCATCGTTTTATGTATGTGTACTTTTATATCTTCTCATGAAGTTTGTGGATGAGGTTATGGTTGTAATAGACTGAAGTGTCCATTACATTGATTTGAAGTACAGTGATATTATAGTCACTGATGTTTGAGGATTGGGAAGTTGTGTATTCAGAGATATGAATTATAATTTATTATATCTTGAAGCACACCTGATCTTGGACTCAACTAATACAGTTAGCACAAATACAGTCACCAGACTTTTTGATCAAACGATGAATGAAGATGTAGATATCAGTTTGAACTTCCAAAGAAGCAAACGAAGGAACACCACTGCATAACAATACATCAAGAGTCTACTGAAATCCTCCTCACTGGTAAACCAACTACTTCAAGAAACCAAGAAACATATTACCCCACATCTGTAAATAGCACTTCTGAAACTAGACTGCTCCGATCATATCGCCATTAATCACACGCAGCAGTCACACGTATTTATCTCGATCTAAAAAACGCACGCAATAAAAAGAAGAGTAAAACTTACGAATTCCTGCATGAAACCCAAGGACTCTTAGCACGACCTCGATCTACGCTGATCTCGATCTGGAATGCACGAAGAAGAAGAAGAAGAAGAAGAAGAAGAAGACTGGTCTGCCTTTGCGTGTACGAGTCGCATTAGAGCGGTGAATATTTCATTCATAAGCGTATCAGCGTATTCCATGAGGCGAACGATCATAGTACGGTGTGAGTGGCCGCAAAAGCGTGCAATGCAGCTGGGGGTAAGTTGCAGCAGTTGCAGCTGCAATTACGTACGTGGCCCCCACGATTCCGTGAATGAAACGTCCGTCCCTTTTTTCCTCCTCTTCCTCTCGTTCCACCTGCTTATCCTTCCTTTCCTCTTCGCGATTCGATCCGTGCCGGCTCGACCGACTTTTTGCGGAACGGACGTTTAATGAGCTAGCGCCGTGGCGTTACGCGTCGCTGAGGATGCACCTTGTTGCGCTTCGCGACGCGCGACCTCGCTGATTTTTAACTTGCTTCGACCTTCGGATGAGGCGTCCGAGGTCGAATGCTTTCAGATTGTTTGCTGATGTGGAGCGATTGGAGTGATATTTGTTTAGGAAATTGGGAGATGTGGGGATGTCATACATATGTATAACATGTATGTTACGTGGGCAGGGTTTCTTTATGGAGTTTCATTTATGAGGTGGTATGTTTTTGAGTGACGCTTCAGAGATCTATCTTCATATATGAGAGAACGAAAAGAAATTTTTCAGTCTAAGAATGTGGAAATTTTCAAACTTGATATTTTGTAATTGAAAAAAATTTGAAAGTTTAAGAACTCTAAGCATTCATACTTCAGCAATGCAACGATATAATATCTGCTCCAAGAATGAAAATATTAACGATACAAATATTGGCATATTATCAGATAATATCACATGATCCTAACATTGACAAACGACTTTCATATTAACATATTGTAATTCGTTGCGAGAAGTTCAGGTTATTACCAATACGTAAATGAAATTCTACTAGGTCTAACACACGCCTTTTCTTTTCCCTCGACAGGAAATTTCCTCGTTTAAATTTATATCCATGTATCTCTGTGATGTATTATTTCGTCTACGTTCGTTGAGGTCGGGGGTCGAAGGTTTGCTGGTACGCGTGGGTTTGCTGATTCAGAGATATGGGTGCGTGGGTGTCGTTGTTTGGGTGAACGAGGTGGAGACGAAGATGTAGATAGCTGGGGTTTAATTGATGAATTGGAGGTGTCTGTTGGTGTTGCAATGCTGTAGAAAGTTAAGTGGGAGGAGATGAAAGCGACAGTAATTAAAATAACATTCATTCTTCGGATTATGTATAACGATATAATAGTACATAAATTTATTGCATAATTACTGGGTATTTTTATGCTGTCTACGTTGCTTTATATTTATAAATTATGTTCATCTATATTATATTATGTAAACATTATACATACGTCGTATCATCTATTGTTACATATGTTATTGTTACATATGTGATACTATTATTACATATGTTATCAAGTATTATGTTAGACCTCTATATTTAGAAATATATTCATGTATATTATATTATACAAACATTCTACATATGTCATATCACCTATTGTTACATATGTTATTGTTACATGTGTTATTGTTACATATGTGATACTATTATTACATATGTTATCAAGTATTATGTTAGACCTCTATATTTAGAAATATATTCATGTATATTATATTATACAAACATTATACATATGCCATATCACCTATCGTCACATATGTTATTGTTACATATGTCATACTACTATTACATATGTTATCAAGTATTATATGTTAGTCAAATCTTTCTCTTATTAAATGTCCAGCTTCTTTAATTTCAAAATAACTATCCATCAGAAATACTTCTATTAGCAATTTCTCAATTCTTATCATAACAGAACAGCAACTTTCAAATATTCTATCCCTAAAATTACCAAAAAAATCAATTTCTGTTACAGAACTTCCGCGAGCATCGAATCGACGGAGCAGCATTGCCCCTCCTGTCGGAGGACCACCTAACAGGTCCGATGGGTATGAAATTAGGCCCCGCCCTGAAGCTCCGTGCCCTACTAGCCCGAAAGCTCGGAGCTTGCACGGTGTGTCTGCACTGTGCGCACTGTCACCAGACACCTCTGCCAGCGTTGAACGCCGCCGCAGCCGCGGCAGCCACGTCTCAGCAGCAGCAACAACAGCAACAACAGGTGCCTGGCAGACGGCCAAGCAGCACGGGGAACTGACAAACAATGGCGGAGACTCCTTTGGGCCCCGAGGGCACTGTGACGCCCTCGCCGGACCCGAATAGGGCCCTCAGGATAGAACGGCGCGTATCTCGTCCTGTACGCAAGCCGGAAGTGGTCTTCAAGAAGCCCATCAAACAGTGACACGGAGATGTTTCACCGTGGACCCTGGTGTTTTGGAGGCTCCGCCTGTTGTTTAAGTGTTCGTTTATCGAGTACCTGGAGAAATCGCTCAAAACGACTGGAGATACTGACTTTGGTGCGTTGTACTTAGATGTATCTGGGTATTTTTTAAGACAGTTCCGAGAGCGTGATTTCGGTGTGAGTGGTTTGAGGTTAGGTTGGGACACACCTGGATTATTTGAAACTGAGTTGGATCGAGTACGAAGGATGGAAAATTTGCTGAGAATTGAAGCATTATTTACTTTATTATATACAACTGCATATAGGAATTATACATATATAGTAGCTCATGTGTTTACATGAGTTATACATAAGACATAGTTGTTTTACAGATTGGTGATTTGTTAATTCAACAATTTTTTGAACTTGATGCTGCCTATTTGTATGATGAATCAATAGTCATCGTTACAAAATTATTTTTGAAACCAACAACCATAAAAAATTAATTTCCTAACATTCTCAGCAAATATTCTGTCTGAACCCTTTACACTTGAAAGTACTATTGCTTTCAATTAAAACGAAGTTTCTATGTCCAAGATTTCTGAAGAATATGTAACAATTGTAGATTTACTGTGCAACATACTCAGTGCCTGAAACGAGTACTTGTGCCTTAGGCAGACCAATTTCTATTTCGTTGAGAAATGTCCGGAAAAAGTAGCTACAATAGTTTTTCAAATAACCGAGAAAATGTGAAATTCTGAAGAGAGACACGTTCAGTTAAGCTTCCTTTTTCTTCATCTAGGAAGAAACGAAGGATAACTAACGAGCATTAATCTCGTTATCGCGCATAAATTAGAAATAGACACGCGATGAACAGGAAGAAGATGACTACTAGATAATCGAATTAATTAGCGATGCGTCTGTACGAGCTAACCGGAATTACATGTTCGATTCTTCGAGAGTAATTAGCGTGTTGAATGTAACATTGAATAGACCCGGCTAAGGATAAATGGAAATGAACGTTGGAATAATTATAGCACGAATGAGACGCTAATCGAGACGGCAGATCGAAAACTGAACGTAGGTTGATTCGAAGTGCAAAATCGAGAAGATCAACGAAACGAGTGCCTATGTCGAACACAAAAATTAGTCTTCCAAAGGCTGGCCTTGAACTGCAGCTTTCTGATGATTCGTTCAGATTGCTGTTGTTAAACGATTGTTATATCCCGTTACCTGATGTCTGAATTTCTTCGAAGATATTGTTCGAATTTATTTGTGACGAGTCTCGTATCAATTTTTATTTCTGTTCATGCTTGTCATGAAGATACTTTCAGTCTAAAATCAGAGAATTGCACATGAGCAGATATTTTATCAAAAAGTTATAAATATTGCATTTTCATTTTGAGTCCATTCTGACTGATTCATAAGAGTTAATTTTGACGAAGGTTCATTTAATGAACCCAAACTAAATTGCTTCTATAATGAATCTTTTATAATAGATCTTGAAATTTTTTTTAAAGAATTCAAACTGAAACTTAAAAATTGACAAAGAAAATTTTTGTTTGATTTAAAATAAAAGATGCATAATTTTGTTCGGATATAATTAATAATTGACACGTTAACACAGTGAGGACTTTTCCAATTTAAGTTTGTACATCACTCATAGCATAATATTAAATCCAATACAGTGTTAATGTAAGTGTTTGAGTCAATTAAATCTGCAGTATCTATGAAACGTGTTGATTATAAAAATTATATCGCAACGAATCACGATGAATTCGAATAATAATCTGATATAAACCGAAGTGCCGCGCGACGACCGCCATCTTCGTTTCCGAACGAAGAAACAAAATGGAAGAAGAAACCAAGAGAAGGTATACGTGAATACGTACTAGAATATGCATAAAATAAAAACAGTAAAGAGTACTAATTGTTGTCGGTGAGAATGTGTAAAATACGAGTGAAAGAATCGAGTGCAAGATTGAAGGGACAACTAATTAGCCGAAATCTATGTGCAATAAAGGACGAGAAGGAACGTTTCGACGCGATACTTTTAACTGTATATGATAGGCGGACACGTATTTGCTCAAATCGTTGTTTCTTTTATATATTTTAACGAAGTTTTTATATGAATGAATTATAATGATAAAGTATACTAAATTATATTTTTGCTAACGTTCCACGTGCAACACGAACGGATTCACGCACGAAGCACACGCGTGTACGCGGATTACACACACACGTATATTGTATACACACGAATGAAATAAAATGAAAAAAAATGAGATGCGAGAAGCATAGGAAACGACGTATAGATTAACGAGCGACGAACCCATTAATGATAGAACTGTAAATTAATTTGTCTTCTTCTTTTATTTACAACGTTTAACGTTTATTTATTTAGGATTAAACCGTTGCCTTATTGTATTCATGTAATAACAATTTAGTCGTAAAGGGAGAGATCACAGTGGTTTTGAACGAGAGTTGATGAGAGTTCGTACGACGAGCAGTATTTTTAGATTTACATTAGCCTGAATTTACTGCAGACTATATACATTTATAAATATTATGCATACATACACTTACACGCGTGCTAACGCACGCATCTGTTCGTGCTTCCACTTTTTTATCTGAAAAATTCGTCAAAATTATAATTGTAAATCACTAGTTTATTTTAATCCTCTTGCACTAATGTACTCTAAGTACTATCTTGAAAATTATATTATGTTAGTACATGACAAGTTTTAATATACTTGTTATACAGCAAATTCCAACTTGTTGCTTCATCATATTTTTTGAACAAGCTTGTATCAAGTTTCACACTATATAACATGCTATGACACAATAAAATTGTGTTATATAAAAACATCATAGGTGATCAAAATTATTATTCCGAATTGGTACAAATGTTTATAACTTTCTACATATTTCACTCAACTAATCTGCTGTACAATATGCAGAATTATACATCACTTTATATGACACCTTCCTATTCTTTTAACAAGTTTCATAACGCTGTTATTTCACATATGATGATATATAATACATCTCTATTATATTACTCTATGAATACACAATAAACATTGATATACTCAAGCCTTTAAACAAAATGTTAAAAATAATGTATCAACGTCTCGTTTTAAAAAAACTGCAAGAGGGTTATCCACCTAAATTAATTTTATTGAACATTTACAAAAGAAATAGTGGAAAGCACGAACAGACATTAACCGAGCTAGCGGCTTTTACTTAAACCGATCACTTTGTACATAATGCTTAAGCATTTATTTATACCGTGCTTTTACGAAAGGTCCCGTAGTATTTTATTTAGTTTCGTAGCCGGGGTTCGCGTACATCATAACTGCGTAGCACGAGATCATTGTCGGATAGATCAGGTTCGTATAAAATTAGAGGGAGTTGAATGCGTGTGTACAGAAATGTTAGAAGAAAAGAAGAAGCGCGAAGAGCTGAGAAATATAGAGTTGTGAGATTATTTAAGAGAAAGTATCATAGGAATATTATACAGAGTTCGAAGAAGAAGAAGAGGGTGAAAGAAGCAAGCGATAAGGCAATCTTGTGATACTTTGATGTTTTTTTTTTTCTCTCCAACCATTTTCCATCCTCCTTCGTTTCCTTTCACGATTAATTTCTGCAATCATGTCCAACTTGTCTCCTCCCACTCATCCCTTCGGCACCCCCTTTTTTATTTCTTCATCGCGATTCTGTCGTGTATTATTCTACGATTAGCTGTCATATTATGTATAGTAGAGACTAATGGTGAAAAGAGAACAAGAACAGTACATTGTTTCTGTTAAAATAAACATTGTTGAAAAATATGGGTAACTGAATTATTTTCTTATTTTCATTATCCTTTAATGACAAAATTTATTCCAACCCTTTTTATTTACAAAGTGAATCGAACACTTTTGAACACTTCAAACATATGTACAATTTTTATAATACTGTAGGATATGATATATCAAGAATTGACGGTCGCATAATCTTCGTTGCAAAGGTTACGTCGATGGCCCAGTTTATGCAACTTTAGACTGAAAACAAAAATTCATATTCAAATACATTTCATAATTAATTATCTTCGTTTGAAACATTTCTTTCTTGACAAATTTTCAAATTTAATTTTGTTAAGTAAGATGTATAGTTGACTACTCTCAACATTCTCAATATCAACAATCTCAACATTCTCAAAATTTTTCAATTGAAAAAAGTGTTTATGATCATCATATTATTAAGAAACGTTATTCACCTTTTTGTGAATAGCCAGGACTCCATCGTCCTCTCCCTGCATTATTTCAATCTGAGCCTGCCCATTACTCTGCACATTGACAACTTTTCCAGTACACCTTCCATTCACCAGATCTCCGGAAATGACGTCACAGTACTGTCCAGCTGGGAGACAGGTATTAAGCGTAGCTCTCAAGTCCGACCGGTCGCCATTGATCGCTATGAAACCTGCATTTCCACGGCAGAATGCAATTTGGTTCCCGTTATTGTCCCACCAGTTAACGACGTTCGTTCCTCTGACGACGTTGCGGAATCGCACCATGTTGTAGATCTGTCGCCAACGGTGTTCGCAGACCCAACCATTGCCGCAGGTATTGTCTGGGTTGATTTTTGGAGACACGAGGTTGCCGTTGCTGTCTTGAGGAGGACCTTGATCGCGGTCTTGGAAGTCGAAGGAGCTCATCACTCGCGGGGTGCCGAATGGGTGAGCTAACATGAACGCTACTGCCATCTGAAAATGGGTATTTAATTTTAAATCGAAGTTACAGTATTTGGGAAGTATATTATGTTATCGTTTACAAGCAAGTGACACTATCTTGCTTGGGAATAGAGTTTACGTTCATCGAATATGTTTTCTTCATTTATTAATTAATCACTTGTGAAAGGAGTGTACTTGTTGAAATAATGTACTTGTTGGAGGTACAGTATTTGTTAGATATATGGTTTACAAGTTTAATAGAATGAAAATGACTGATGAAACGAAAAGTGAAGCCTTTTGCTGCTGAATGTCTGATCATACACTGAGCTGTTCTACTAGTTGATACCTAATCGTTGGTGCTTGAGACGTTCCCATTCAAAATGTTATTACATTATTATAGAAAAAGATTACTAATAATGCAGATTGCTGTGTAACAAATACGAAGTGCAGTTTTTATTGTTTCATCATGATTTCAATTGTAAAATTGATTTTTACTCGACTCTGAACCCTCAGGAACTTTGACTAACATTTACTAGTTGAGTGAATTTTACTCTGAACATACTGTTTCAAAGTTTGTACTGTTACTACACTGTCCATAAGTTTCCCTGTCATTAACTCGATCATACTTATACTGTTCAACATACCTTGTACTGTTTGGACATTTTATACGTGAGTACATTAGAGTCCCGTTGAGTGTCATGGTTGTCCACAAAAACCAGCGAGTCCTGCGAGGGTAAAAGACTCCACGCTTCTCCCCAGTTCACGAACCATTTCAGAAGATTGTTCCCTAGGAAGGCATTCGAAAGCTCTTTGGCATACTTGAACTCAACCACCGCCGCCAATTTGTTGTAATCGGTCTTGCTGATCGCTTCGCCACCGTAATCGATCACTTCTTGATAAATGTATGGCCGGGCACCTTGTGGGAAACCGTGTTTCGTGTTAAGATTCTTCAACCTCGAGTAGATGACGCTTAAATCTGCTGGCCACATGTGCTTCGCAGCGTCAATTCTGTACAAATAAATATTCTATCAAATAATACATCTTGAACTTCGGTTAGAAGTTTGTTTAACAAAATAAGTGAATATTTGATTCCAAGCAATTTATTTCGGACTGAAAATTACTAAATATTCGAATGATGGTTTTGGACTTGAATTTTTCTTCTTGAAGAATTTTTCAATCTTAAAAAATTAATAAGGACATAGAGTTTAGGGTTTGAAAAGATTTTAAACGATAGTTTGAGTTCAATCAAACTGCCTAATCAAGAAACTAGCAAATTACAAAACTTCAAACAATTATCTCAGCAAACATCACAACAGAAATTGATAAAAATATAAAGTTTGGAGTTTACAAAATTTTTAAATGACAATTTTGAGTTCAATTTGCCTATTTACCAAGAGACCATCAAATTACAAAATTCAAACAATTATCTCAGCAATCACAACATAAACAATACCTGAATCCAGCAACGCCAATATCGATAGCTTCGTTCATGAAGTTCACAATCTTCTCTCGAACATACTCAAGACCCTGATTCAAATCGTGCAGACCAGTCAATTCACAATTTCTCACGTTCCCCGCGTTTCTGTAATCATTGACTGTACAAATCGGATGGAAATGCTCCGCATGGTACGGTGGTTGATAATATTCCCGGTTGTACGTGTTTGCTCTGGAATTTGCGGTACCAACAGCGTCCGCATAATTGCCTGTCATGTGATTCACAACGGCGTCCACGTAAATTCTGACGCCTACTCGGTTGCATCTTTCTACCATGTCAGCGAAGTCTTCTCTTGTGCCTGATCGAGTGATCATCAGGTACGACATGGGTTGATAACGCTCCCACCATGGTCTGTTTTTGGCTATCAGGTTTTCTTGGATGGGTGACACCTGGTGAAAATTTTAGTGTTGTACCATTCAATTTTATTGGAAAAGTTAGAAAGTTAGATAGTTATTTGAGGTAGATTAAACAATGTACAGGTTGCGAATTTATTAGACTTCCAATTTTTAACATAGCAAATTTAGGAATATTCCAAGTTTTAAATTTTGATATTTTTGTATGTGGAAATTTGGAATTTTGGAAACTTGGAACTTTGGGAAGTTAGAAATTTGAGAATTTGGAACTTTGGGAAGTTGGAAATTTGAGAATTTGGAATTTTGGGAATTTGGAACTTTGGGAATTTGGAACTTTGGGAATTTGGAACTTTGAGAATTTGGAACTTTGAAATTTGGAACTTTGGGAATTTAGAACTTTAGGGAATTTGGAACTTTGAGAATTTGGAATTTTGGGAATTTGGAACTTTGGGAATTTGGAACTTTGAGAATTTGGAACTTTGGGAATTTGGAACTTCGAGAATTTGGAACTTTGAAAATTTGGAATTTTGAAATTTGGAACTTTGGGAATTTGCAACTTTGGGAATTTGGAACTTTGAAAATTTGGAACTTTGAGAAGTTGGAACTTCGGGAATTTGGAACATTGAGAATTTGGAACTTCGAGAACTTGAAACTTCGGGAATTTGGAACTTTGAAATTTGGAACCTTGTAAATTTGCAACTTTGAAAATTTGGAACTTTGAGAATTTGGAACTTTCAAATTTTGCTAAAAACTTTCACCTACAGAAATTTGGAAATGTACATTGACACTACACCCTAAAATAAAAAATGCTTTGAACTTCTACCTGCACACCACCAAAGCCCTTAGGTCCAAGGAACTCCTCGCATTCCCTCGCGATGTCCTTCCACTTCCATTCGAAAAGATGCACGATAGTTTCGCGTCCCGGCGCATAATGTGGCTGGTTAAAGGCAGCCTGGCAAGCTGCCAAGAGGAGAGTAAAGAATATCGGCGTGAACAGCATCATCAGTTTCTGTGACCAAATGGAGAATCCCACGGTATATAAACTGTTTCCCCTTACGCAACTCCTCTTTGTCACACATCCAAAGGTCAGAACCCCTCCGCTGCTCATCGCATGTTATCTCCTCCATGAAATCATATTCCGTGCCGTACATGATCCTCAAGTTAACCTTATCATTGCAGCATCAAGACGAAAAGAAATAAACATTCATCATCGAATGTTTCGTATCCGACTGATCGGCAGATTTATGATTGTTACTTTGTTTGTTTAGGTGATATCAGTTATTTTGAAAGAATAGTTTACGCAATTGTTAGTTCCAATAATGAGATTTTAATGTAAAAAGATTTTTGCTAAGTAGCATTTAAGTGGAATTATATTTTAAAGGAAAGACATTATAAATTCATTTGCGATATTGTGTAACTTGATCTTAGAAGAAAAACTTTCGTTGGTATCAATAATTTCCTTCTTCCCGTTCACTTTCACGTAGTTATGATTTCCTAGATTGCAGTTAAGTGGGGAAATATACTCCACTTCTTTTAATCGATCTAATTAGATCTGTAAATAACGCTCTGTTATTGCCATAAACAGGTTCAAGTATGTTGTTGTTCTTTATATCGCTGGGGAATTGTTTTTGTCGAACGTATCAGTACTTGCCAAATCTTAATCTAGTCAGGTGATTGCTTAGGTTATCTAATAATTGTGAAGTGATCTGATGGCTTATGCTGTAATTAAGAATATTTATTGCACGATGCATGTGTAATTAGTAGCAATCTTTATCTTTAGAATCTACTGAAGGAACGTTAACTGTAAGTAGGATTAAGAGATTGTTGACATTTATTACTTGAAATAAATTACCATGGAGATTAGTATTAGAGAAACGATTTTTGTCAGGACATTGTAGTCCCATTTCAATCACGATTTTTACAGTTATACTTCAACTTCAAATCTTGAACTTCACTAAATAAAAAATGTATTTAATTTACATTAAACTTTAGCAACCTTAACAATCACAAAATTTGTACATACAATTTTTTATCATCAGCTTCATATTTAAATACGTATTTATTCATGACGATATGATAAAAGTACCGAAGAAGAATAAAAATAAAAATAACCAAAGAAGATAAAAGTGTTGATGTATAAAAAGTCGTAAAGAGAACGACCGTCACAATAAGGAAAGAGAATTTTATAACGAAATTGCAGAGCCGCAAAAAAACAAGTAAATTAACTGGAATTAAAGTTCCAATGTATACGAGTCTCATTTGGAGCTACACTTCATGGATGCTGTTTCAACAAGAGTTATTCTCGACTCTTGGGTCAAAGGGCTCGGTAAAGGAACATCAACGCGTCCATTCAATATAATTACGAGCGATCGTTAATCGGTTTAACAACAGATCAGCCCAGCAACAACAGGCAACGTGGCCGGAGTATATTGCTGTTTGGCTTGCAAAGGAGAAGCAGCCTGCGAGCGTACGATTTCGCTGCGGGTTACAATTACGAGCGAGGCGCGTAATTAAAAGCTGATGTTCCTCATTTATTAATGCTACAAGACGAGTCCAGCCACAACGTCGATGCACAGCCACGCAACTCGCTTGTTTTAATGCCAAACGTCATCAGTCTTCGACTACCGTCTACGTTCTCCGCCCCATTTGCCGATGCTTTCATGCCTTTATGTCTCATTTGCATATTTCTGTCCTGGAATGCCACTTCAACGGCAGCAGTTTTAATTTACTACGATTATTTTTTAACTAGCTTGCTCGTTAAGTATCATGGATACTTTGTTTACTTATACTTTGCAAAAAATGTATACTGCTGGTGATTGTTGCATTACAGTCTTATTATTATGTGCTATTTATTATGTACTGTTTGGTCATTGTATATTGTCTTATAGTTATAAAGAATTTGGTTTCTTCGACATAATCTGATTACTGTACAAAAAACTTCATTACCTAAGGAGGTTATGTTTGTTTGATCGTCACAAGTGGTTCTAGGCTCTCCCTAAACTGTTCCTAACCTCTCCACGCATGCACAATGTTGATCTCTTAAATATTCTATACTAACCCATATTTAAATAAATAATTTTACTTCAATATTAATTTCACATAAACTAAACAGGTTAATTTAAATACATGGAGGGTGGTGTTTTAGGTGAAATGAAAAGACATCTTCGTCCATCCTTGACATCACGCTTCCTCTCTTTATTTCAACTCATTTGGCTACAGAATATCACAACATGATAGAGATCGAACTTTAGATAGAATTGCATCGATCGCTGCAGAACATGTCGACCAAATCGAAACACCAAATTTTACAACCATCTTTATTTGAAAATTTTTTTTCAGTTTGTAATAAAATCATTTTCACATATATGTAGACCTCTTTCCTATTCAGAGGAAGATTTTTAAATTTGCATTACTGAATGTCTCTTAAAATGTTCACATTTGAAAGACCTTGTAAGTAGAGTTGTTGAAAGTTATTTTTGAAATGACTCGACGTTAAATAATAAAAATTTTGTTCATTATAATAGCTTAAATTCTTTATACATGTCAAGTTCTAATTAAAGCAATCTTTGTCTACATATATTTTTAAATAAATGAGTATTATTAAATTTGAATAGTAATGGCAAAAAATTGAAATTATGATTCGATTTAATCGATAAAATTCGTCAGCGAGATCGATGTTAACACCGTAACGAGTAGTTAGCGCCATTAGGCTGCTCAACGACATATTGTTTATTAATTACGCACACTTGACGTACAAAACAGCAGAAATAACGATGCTCACAGACAGACAACGATACACAGATAAAGTGGGTACTTCCACATTCATAAATATACTCTTGATACTTATGCAACAGAGCTGCATACAACGTGACGATAATAAAATACAATCTCCGACAGTGACGGACTTTATCTTCGTGATTTCATACTTGCTCTCGTTATTCTCCTTTTTGTATACAGTCATCGTCGTATCTCTTTTATAATATATTTCGTCGCAATAACAATTGCGTCTAAACTGCAGGTACTTTTTAAATATTTGGTTTCGTGTATTTAACTTGTAGAACAAAGGAAGTGAATTAACGAAACAATCATCTGTCACAAATTTTAGATATCTTACTCTAAATTACGATATCTTTAAAACGTACGATAATCGGAGGTAAAAACCATATCTGTCAATTTATATTCCATCCATCACTTTTATGTTAATTAAATTTCAATTTTTCAGAAGATATAACTGAAATATCTTCTACAAATTAAAAATCTTGTATTCTTATGAGAATTACTATTGAAATTTATAATTTATCAAATGGAGATATCAACGCTGTACAAAAGGAGAACAAAGAATCAAAGCATACAACTCTTTTCTGTCTCTATACTTTAATCACTCTACCTCTGTTACTATTACGAAAAAGTTCACGATACAAGATTCGCTTCTAAATATTTCTCTACGAAACAAAAGTAGCGAGGTTCGAAGTTGCCGAAGAAAATATTTCTTTATAGCGAAGAACTAAATCTCTAATTTTGCGGAAAAGTGATTTACAATTATAACCGTAAGGCGACGTTTTGTTCCTTTCTACTAGTCTTCGACTCGAGCATGCTCTTCACGCTAAATCGTTTGAAGCGCTGTACACAACAGATACACATAAGAATCGCAAGAATTCCTTTGAATTATTTTGTACCAACGGTGTCAGGTATTTCGTTTACGATTTAATTGTTTATCAATCAAATCGTAGAGGAGGTGCACTACTTATAAGTCATACATTACGAAATTTCATTAATTTTCAAGAAATAATTGAACTTCTAAAATATTTCAAGACAAACAATTATGACTTCAAGAAAGACAATTGTGACTTGAACGAAGACAATTATGACCTCAAAAAACAAAGAATTATATATATGATAACAAATATATATAATTTATGTTAAAATATAATAAATAAATTTCCAACAAATTATAAAATTTTTTAAAAGTATTAAACGACAAAAGAATTCAGTAACAGTAAATTTTAATGGTTCAAAGCTGCATGGAATAAGTTCCATTCACAGAAATAAGTTTGATAAGATTTGCTCATTTCGAGGAATCTCTGCGATCGCACAAGACAGCAATTCGCGATTTAATTAACAATAAGTACATCGTTTATTTATACATCCATTCTTACACGTGGATTTCGCGTTGTTTCGTGAATCGGTAGCAACTAAGTCGACAAAGATTTTTCGATTTCGAAGCATTTAACTACGAACAAAATTACATCGATGTTTATCGATTCCCTCCGCTATAGATCCTCTATTTGTATAATTACTCATTGCGTGAACCGAGAGATCAGCACACGGCGAATCAAGGATTTGTTGTTTCGCTTTTGTACCAATGTTACATCGATCAACAATGTTTATAGGTACTCTGCTTAGTTTAGGATCGACCGGAAAATATATTCATAACGAGAAGACTCTATGATGATTATTTGCTATTTTATTATAAAACAAAATTATTTGTAATTTTATTTATTATAGCACAAAAATTATTTATCTCAAAAATGCATGAATATTTCATTTAAATGCAAGAGGAACATTTTATACAATTTTATGAAAGGTTTTGCTAAAGGTTGATCTTCAAGATCAACTTCTTAATTGAAGTGACATTTATGAAATAATTTTTTCATACAATTAAAAATAACAATTTTTTATGTTCAACAAATTTTATCTCATTTTCTGTACTGATAGAAATATAATTCAAACAGAATTTTTTTTAGTGTTCTCACAATAAAGAAATTTATATTTAAAAATCATATTAACAAATTTTTAAAGATTCTCGTTATAAACATTCTTCCTCACGTCGCAGGTTAATTGCTTAACTATAATTACTATACGTATATTCACAGTTTCATAAACACTTTCTCGTTGCAAGAACGCAAGTGGATACGAGTCGCCAGCACGATTCAAGAGTTACTCTATCATATGAAAATTTATACCACCGATAATAACCATCGACAACAATAATAAAGGTCTATAATAATTCCTACTAATGTAATCCATAATAATTTAACTTGCAAATGTAAACTTAAATTACAGTATCAACGTAACAAATATGCAAAATGTGTAGAAAATATTCTGAGGCATCAGAACAATTTAAATAATAATTAAAAAATTGGTAGCTCGTAATTACTATTGAACATCTATAATTCGTATTTTCTTTGGAAGGACCACTTAGTTTGAGTTCTAAAATAAAATTTCGATAAGCAAAGCAGCTTTAAAGAACTCGTCGAGATTTCGATGAATCGTTACTATCAAATTATCGATTGGCTCTTGAACACGAGCGTATAATATACTCTGGTTTCTCTTTAGTACAGTATCAAATATAGATATACACAGTATCGCTAAAAACCATTTAAACGACGCCAATTTTTCTTTAAGAATTTTTATATAATAGACGTGAATAAAATCAACAAAATTTTATTATTGTCGTACAAATACTTTTGAACGATACTGTATGTATATATACATGTATATAATATATATATGTACGTATATAGTTAGTCTTTGCATTTCTCTTTGACATAATTCATGATAATCGATGGATATGTCGCGTATGTATAATAAAAGTGTTTTAGCAATAACATCGTCAATATACATCTATATTTTTCTTGTATATTTTCTCTTTTATACTGTACACTTGTGAAATGTGCGTTGATGAAGGTCTAAAATATATTAATTTCCTTAAAAAATAAAAAACATTATTCACCCAATAAAAGGTAAAAAGAATCAGTTTCTTCATACTGACACTATAAATACGAAGATAGAAAAGTGATTGTGATCGAATGAATATCGATGTGAGAAAATCGTGTTGTCACTGTGCGAAACAGTTCTTAAGAAAATAAAACTACTGCTCAAAATAATTAAACTATGATTACAGAGAACTAAAGCTAAGCGTGAAACGTGTAAAAGGTATTGTCCAATGTTTCTTTCATAACAGAGCTCCAAGCGTTAATTACTTTGAGCAGTACACTGTTCTATGTTCGATCATAGAATCCTGTGTTCGATCATAGAATTCAACTTAAAGCAACACAAGATTAATGTTGAAACACAACCATGTTAGCACAGCCTGTTACACTGACTTCCATGAAATTATTCTGAAACAGAGCACTTCTTTAACGTCAAACACTTTTGGACATCGCACGAATATCTGTACAAGATTGCTGACGATTTAAACAGAAACTTAAACAATTTTTAAACACAACTCGTCATCGGGGCGCACTAGTTTCCCTGGGAAAATGGCGGTATGGGAAAGGTGGCTTTGTGCAAATTTTTATGGTGGAAGATTCTACGCAGGAGAAAAGGTGCTACGTCCACCATTTTTTATGTGGAGGACATTTTGTCGAGAGAAGGGAACCTAGGGCACCATTTTCAATTCCCTCAAATTCCATATTACAAGTTTTTTCAATAAAAGTAGATATTCCACGTTGCCTAGTTCTTTGAGAAAGGCCTCCACACCGCCATTTTGTGCAGACAAGAGAAGCCCACGCCACCATTTTAAATTTCCTCAAGTTCCACATTACTAGTTTCCTAAAAGGAAGTAAATTCTATCTAGGAAAGTAGAGTCACTACATTTCCCCCAAAGAAAAACCCCAAATTTTTCCTAGTAAACCCCAAAGTTTTCCTTAATAGATAGCCCAACTACTTGCAAACTAAACTCACGTGGTAACAGTTAAACATTAAACTCTTCCCATTTTCCCTAGGGAAACCTTCCGCCCCGTATTGTATACACTTCTCCCTATCAAAGTAACATTAACACTAAACGTCCCTAAATGTCCCTACTAAAGTATTACGACACTGTCTCTATATAAATAATACCCGAACACTAAATATCCCTATTAAAATTAATATTCCACTAATTGTCTCTACATAAACCGAAGCGGACTAGGACTTGTACAACCGAGACCCGAAATAATTCAGAATTTGTGCGTTTTGAACAGCCAGACCAGATTCGCACGACCCTCCTGTCTCACCACCAACTTAATGTAGAAACCAGATTGCTCCAATTGCTGATCCTGTTTCTGCGGTTCCGGTTCGTGCACACGAATCTCCACTTTATCACGTTCCCTCCTCCTCTTCTTCGGCTCGGCCACCTGCTCGATCCTCTTCTCCGTTTCCGGTTTACGACCCTCCAGATACAACTGCAGTTGCTGGAATTGAGGACACTCGAACTGTTCCTCGTAACGTCTCTCCTGTATCTGTCGTTGAAGAGCTTCCTCCTGTTGCTGCAGTATCAGATCTTGCTGGAGAGCCCAATGCACCTTCAACTCCTCCAACTGCAGCTGCAGTCGCTTCTTCTCGCGAACTCGTCGGTGATCTTGCTCCTCTTCCTGTTTCAATGGGACTTCGGACTCTTTCTTCTTCGCTTCTTCTTTCTGCTGTACTTCATCCTTTGGTACTTGTTGCTGTGACTCGTGTTGTTGCTTCAGTTTTTGGTTTTCTTCTTGTTTCTGCAGTTTCTCTTCCTGTTTCAACTTCTCCTGTTTCAGTTTTTCTTCCTGTTTCAATTTTTCTTCCTGTTTTAGTTTTTCTTCCTGTTTCAGTTTCTCTTCCTCCTTCTGTTTGTTCGAGTCCTCTTGCTTCTTCTGTTCCAGTTCTTTCTGTCTCTTTAACTCTTCTTCCTGCTGCTTCTTCGACTCTTCCTCCCGTTGCTTCTTTCTCTCCTGGTCCTCTTGCTGCTTCCTGAGCTCCTCCAGTTGCCTCTGTTCTTCCTGTTCCCGTCTCACGTCGATTCGTTGCTGCGAATCCTCTTCGTCCTGCTTCTGCCAGTGTTGCTGCTCAGCTGTGCCGTTTTTACCTTCAAGTGGGTGCGAGACCGCATTGTTAATAGGAATTTCCTCGGGTCGAGGCTGGTCCGTAACGGCCGCGGTCAGTACGGCTACCTGAAGTTAGTTACTTAGTTGCTACCTGAATGCTGCTTCTCATCGGAGCCCTCGTCGGACCCTGTCGAGCTCAGTGACGTGTTGCTACCGTACGGGTCCTGCAGAGATGACTGCACCGACAGACTACGGTCCTGGTGCCTCACTCTGTGGGGTGACAATTTTCCGGGGTCGACACTGGTTGGGTCTGCCTGCAACAAATTCACTGGTCAGGACACTTTCGGGACTCGGATGAGACAACCAGTTCTCTCTACGGCGTGCACTGTGCAGAGCTGGAAAGTTATGCTGAATGGGAGTCTCATTTTATATTCTCAGAGTCTCATTTATATTTACTTTTATATTATTCTGTATTTCATATGTTATATTTTTTTACTGGCTTATTTGTAATTATAGAGAGACATCTTGTTTGCTTGGCTAGAGAAGTGCTATTACTTCAAACGAGATTTTAATGCTCTGTGAAGATAAATGCTTGTGTAAGGCTATCATCATCTAGTAATAATACTGTTATACTTGTAGAATGAAAAAATCAGATACATATATCGTTTCTATGGTCTGTATTATATTATTTTGTCATTCACTCAGATGTCAGGATGCTTCATTCAGATGTCACAGCATCCATGGAGAACTTAATATGTACATTTTAACTCATGGATACTTTTGAATGTATGTTCTATATTGATTATAGGTGTTAGGATCACCTGTTGATACAAGGACTCTAGTATTAGTGTAATATTATAAATCAAAAAGTGGAACTTGAAGATTACAGTGTCTTTTAACATGTCTTTCTAGCTCTGTATAGTACCAGGGAGGTGGTGAATATCGAGTAGGTACAGTAAAATATTTAGGTATTCATCAAAGGAACATAGAACTGTTGTTTGGAACAAACTAATTAGACAATTAGCTATCACAAGTAATTTGAGATTTCAGCTCAAAATTATTTTTAATGCTTTATGTAAATCTCCACACATCTTGAAATCTCTGTGTTCCATTGATGAAAATGTCCTAAAATTTTCAGGGGTTCAATGATGAAGATTCAGGACGATCCGAGAAAATTGATCAACGTTATACCTCTCAGTAATTAAATAAAGAAATGTTATTTTACATAGCAACTAAATATTGAATCTACAATTTAAGGAAGATAATTGTGGAACCAGAAGAATTTTTCGCCAATTTTTATTATATGAATTTATTATATTTTACAGACATTGTGTCTCAGAAGATGGAGTTTAAAATAAAATGGTGGGGAAATGAACATTTGCTAAAAGGATAAAAGTGTTACGATAAATATACTTAGGCAAATAATTTCTTTAACACACAACACGTAATATTAATTGTATAATTAAAGTGTAAGTTAATTGTAATAAAGTGTACACGAGTAAAATGTCTTTTTACACTTACACTACTCAAAAGACTTACAAAATTTTTAATGAAAAATGTTATACTGATCAAATATAATTAACATGTGTTTTACTAAAAAATCAATCACAAAATATTTTATGCAAATACAAATATTTTGAGCAGTGTAAAAAGTTCTAACATAAAATGTACATTTCTAAACAATGAGACATGAACACTAAGGAATCAGGAGCCATTTATTGAATGCTATAAGTGAAATTTGGTCGCAGGAGAATGTAAAAACGAGAAAACCACAAAAGTCCACAACTCAACCCTATTTCCAATTCACTCAAAATATAAAATAGAAATGTCTTATATACAAAAGACATTTTCACAGAATTCTTCTTTTGCATCGCGAGGACGATCTCTGCATGCTCCAACAAGAGAAGTACAAACAAAAAGGGGTAGAGATCCACAGCTATACAAATTGAATATTCTGACGATCATTTATCATCACGTGGGACGAATTTTAATATTCAAACACTGTTGTAACCGAAGGAACACGTACATTGGTGACTGTTTAGCTTAACAAGCTACCATTACCTTCATGGTTGTGACTGTTACACATTTTAGTTCATTTTGCTAGAAACGCACAAACTACAATCCTGGAGCCTACACTAAAAGTGCTGCTTGTAACAGTGTATGTTTCGAAATTAATCACGATCGTAACTTCGTATGTTTCGAACAGATATTTGGTAGTCATCTCTGCGAAGCACAATTCACTTCGTGAGACAAAGATCCAAAAGCGTTTTCGATTCGAAACAGAAAGAAAACAACGCTCTGATAAGAAGTTTGAGATCATGAGAATGAATGAAAAATAAAAGAAAAAATCTATAGAAACTGTGATTAGCTCGAGTGTTATTTTCGAAGTAACACGCACCTGATAGGCCAGTGCGTTCACTATTATCCCTGAGGGAACCAAGCCTAGGGGGTGAACCTCCCTCATCAACACGTTTGCAGGAATTTTGTGAAATTGAATGTACTCCAGGAAGTTGCCGATCACGTCCTTTAAAACTGTGTTCTGGTTGCTGTCGCAGTACTTCTTGCTCCACATCAAGGCCGCCTAGGGATCACAAAATGATTATGTACTATTAGTGGATTCTATTAGTTTCTTTCGCGCTTAGAACTCGGCAAAATTCAAATTTGGCGCGCTTGGAATTGGGCGCGTGGGATTCGGTTACGCTTGGAATTCGGCGCGATTAGAACTCGGTGAGATTCAAATTTGGCGCGCTTGGAATTCCACGCGATTAGAACTCGGCGAGATTCAAATTTGGCGCGCTTGGAATTCGGCGCGCTTGGCATTCGGCGCACTTGGAATTCGACGCGCTCGGAATTCGGCTCATTTAGAATTCGGCTCGCTTGGAATTCGGTGCGATGCAAACTTGGCGCGCTTGGAATTCAGCGCGCTTAGAATTCGGTGCGCGGAATTCGGCGCGATTCAAATTTGGCGCGCTTAGAATTCAGCGCGCTTGGAATTCGACGCGCTTGAGATTCGGCGCGCTTGGAGTTCGGCGCGCTTGAGATTCGGCGCGCTAGAGATTCGGCGCGCTTGGAATTCGGCGCGCTTGGCATTCGGCGCACTTGGAATTCGACGCGCTCGGAATTCGGCTCATTTAGAATTCGGCTCGCTTGGAATTCGGTGCGATGCAAACTTGGCGCGCTTGGAATTCAGCGCGCTTAGAATTCGGTGCGCTTGGAATTCGGCGCGCTTGGAATTCGACACGCTTGAAATTTGACACGCTTGGAATTCGGCGCGCTTGGAATTCCACGCGTTTGGAACTTGACACGCTTGGAACTTAACGCGCTTGGAACTTGACGCGCTTGGAATTCGACGCGCTTGAAAGTCGACGCGATTATACTTCCACGCGTTCCCCCAAAGGCCTCCATAGCCCGAAGAGCAGTGAATTATCGAGCGACTACTACTCTTTCAACCCTCTCTAATTTAGCGGAGAATCTTACACTGGTACTTACTTGGAATTTAGTGAATTCATCAGCACGTAACTCTTCCCTTACCAGGATTAAACGAACTACGTGTTGAGGAAGAAGGGTAAAGGATCCTAAATTCAACACTTCGTTGCCATGTTCGTCAACAAACTCCAATACCTTAAAGAACATATGAAATTCATCAGTAAAAGAAGTTCAAATGGTTTGAAATCTTTAAGTACAAACAAGTTCACAATTGAGTCACGTGAAAGAGTAGATAAGACTTCAGAAATTAAAAATGCGACGTTCTAATCAGAAATTGAATAGATATGACAGTTCACTTGATGCTGTGAAATCTACTTCGATAATGAAATCTGCTGCTGATTATCATCTCGTATCGCTTTGAATCAAGGAACAAGTAAATGAGTCCTATAAATAGATACATGTTTACATTCGTTTCGTTATCAGTGAACGTGCGTTAATTTTTGAACGTGCTGACATTTTTTATCTTAACAAGTATATTGTGTAATTTATTAATTGGTTACTTAAGTGACTATATTATCGTGCAAAATTATGTGAAATCACCTTTTGAACTATGGATTTTGTACATTTGTACTGAATATATCGTTCTGCGGATGCTAGTAAAGCACACACTGTGTCCACTGTTATGCAGTATTGAACGAAGCCAGCGCAAGCTCTTCTCAGCTCGTCCAATACGTAGTAATCAGCAGCGTTCATTACACCTGTAAAAGTTAAGAAAATTTTCAAGTTTAAATTTATAATTAATTGAAAGAAGTGCACTAAGTATATACAAGATAATATATCATGTAGATATCTCTTCTAAAAAAGAGAGTTGATGTTATAGATTAAAAATTTATAGAGAGAAGTTACTTAGAAAGAAGAATTTATTTAGAGAGGAGATAGTTATTTACCCAGCAGTGTCCTCGGTTGCAGTGTCACACATCCGGTATGAGTGTACTCAATCAACTGACGAAACACGTCCGGTTCAAACTCCTCGATGATTAAAGTATGATGCTGATTTGGCTGCGGATTCAAATATTCGTAAGAAGAAGATAGAGTGAACGAGGTTCGAGGTCCATGCTAAGCGACTTGCTCGATGCATTTAGTGATGAATTTAATATGTAGATTTATAGAAATAGTTTGGTGGAAATTTTAGTTTGTAATCCTTTCGTTACTTGATGTTAATCTGTACTATTTCAAACTTAATATTTTCAAATTTTCAAATTTTTTTATTACCGAATTCCTATGTTTACAAATTTCTACATTTTTGAACTTCTACATTTTCGAATTTCTATATTTTCAAATTTCTTCATTTTCAAATTTCTACATTTTCAAATTCCTATATTTTCAAATTCCTACATTTTCAAATTCCTATATTTTCAAATTCCTACATTTTCAAATTTCTATATTTTCAAATTTCTACATTTTCGAATTTCTATATTTTCAAATTTCTACATTTTCAAATTTCTACATTTTCAAATTTCTACATTTTCAAATTCCTATATTTTCAAATTTCTACACTTTCGAATTTCTACATTTTCAAATTTCTACATTTTCAAATTTCTATATTCTCAAATTTCTACATTTTCAAATTTCTACATTTTCAAATTTCTATATTTTCAAATTTCTATATTTTCAAATTTCTACACTTTCGAATTTCTACATTTCCGAATTTCTATATTTTCAAATTTCTACATTCTCAAATTCCTACTTTCCCAAATTCCTACATCCCCAAATTTCTATATGACCGAATCTCTACATTTTCAAATTTCTATATGGCCGAATCTCTATATTCCCAAATCTCTAATTCATCAAATACTAAAATATTGAAGTCCGAATTTTCAAAATTTCCCAAACTTCCCAATTTCTCAATTTCCCCACCCCTAAAGTTCCCCAAACTCTCAAATTCCCTGATACTCAAATTCTCCAACCATAATTCCCAAATTTCCAAATCTTATCAATTGAACAACTTGTCCTCCTTTCCTCCAGCACTAAACTTTAAACCACCAACAAAATATAGAAGTGAAACAAATACATATCAGACATACCTATACATGCAATTTACAAGAACCTCGCAACGAAAGGATTACCACAAATTTATCATAAAATTAATCAATCTTTTCACTCTCAAAACTCTATATAACTCTATATAACTCTATCATATTTAACTTTCATGAACATATTACTTTCTCCAAACGTAAAATATAAAAATTCATCACCATTCGCTTAAGCATCCGTAAAAATTTACAGAAACGCTCTCGTGTCACGTTCCCGACACACGTTGCGTAGGTGCAAATTCTCATAGGCAAACTACTGTGCTTCTAACATCATCACTAACTCCATCACTACTTTTACGAAGACTGTGAGATGCAGAATTGCAGAATCAAATTGTGCCGTTCTTTTTTTATCGTGGATGATGCTCTTGATCGTGCCACTCTACAACTATGTTGCAAATTCGATATGTCTACCTAAATTAGCTATCATTGAGACTGCATATTCAATTTAAAAATTGCATGCCAACTGAAAGAGATAGATTGACACGATTGAATGTCTCGTTAACGTGCACAAATTGCTTCGTGAATGATACATTCTAATTTCCTATGATCAAGCTTCTTCAGAAAATTCCTGTCATTTGTTTTAATGTTAGACTGTATTATTGTTGCTTTTTTTAGCTGAAATATTTCTGGATTTTATTTTTAATGATTTTATATGTTGATTTACTAAATTGAATGACTTTAAATATTTTTTGTTGAAATATTTTATTTTTAATGATTTTATGGATTGATTTACTACATTGACAACTTTAAATATTTTGTGTTGAAATAATTTGTTTTTAATGATTTTAAATATTGAGTGACTTTAATTATTTTATGTCGAATCATTTTAAATATTGACTGACTACATTGAGTAATTTTAATTACTTCTATGTTGAATGATTTTAAATATTGACTAATTACAATGACTGACTTAACTGTTTGATTTTAAATATTTTATAAAAAATTGATTTGTTTGTATCTCTTTTGAAAGAACATTTTGGACTACAGTTCTTGAATTACAATTGAATATTTTTGTATAAAAAAAAAGTAATGACATAATTTCTTTTTGAATGATAAAATGTTTCTATATCTTTCAGTGAAAAGATCTGACACACTGATATTGTGAAAATCATTTACAAATTATTTACAATAATCGCATCATGTCATCTTATAAAAATCATTCTAAATTTAACCTGTATTTTACTGTCCAAGAAATAGGCTCATAGAAGTAAAAATAAAAATAAAAATTGAAATAAAGAAGAATTCAAAATAAAATTAAAAAAAGCATCATCTGAAAAAAATCTAAGAAATGCAGCATTTCTCAAAATTATTCTAAAGTACCAACTAATAATTGATTCAACAATTCTTGAAAAGAAAGAAGAAAGAGAACTGTTGAAGCATTTATCAAACTTTCTAAATAATTTCACAACATCAATGGGACAATTTCATCTACATCATGCAATCATATGTACGATAGAATAGTTCGATTCTCGCCAGGGTGTCCTCTAGGAATCACACAGTGAAACAGTTTGAGAAAGAAACGGTTCATCTATCTAACTTCTCTAAATTGAAACGTTCGGAGTTGGAAATTAAATCGAGGAGTCTCGTCGACGTTCATTTCTCTTGTAGAAAGAGTTTGAGAAGGTGTAGAGAAACAGAGAGACGTTTCATGAGCAGAGTGACAAAGAGGGCAAGGAAAAAAGATCGAAGAGCAAAGACTTTTTAGATGCAAAATGCTATAGAGTTACGTTGATAATACCTCTTGTATGGGGGCCAACTGCTGCGTGAACCCTGACCGCTACACGACACAATCAAAAAACGCACTCTTACTATTTCTATCGTTTGATCGATTGTTCGAACGCCGTCACATTGATATTTTTCAAGGAAAAATAGTTTTCAACTTATTTGGTAGTTATGGTTAATTACGGTTTGAAACTCATATCATATGATGTGTATTTTTGGGATATCATATGTGTACTTTTATTAAACATATGTATTTTTATTTTAGGGATACATACAGTACAGGGTGGGTCATCTTGGCTCTAATCAATTTTACTGTTTGCAGAGAAAAATTGTTTCGAGTTTAAGGGTTAATACAATGGTGAATAAATAGTAATTTTCAAGGTGGAAACACGTCAAGGATTTTTATACTCTGCAATATTTTTTATAAAAATTGTAAGTTTTTTTTTTATAACAAAACTGTAAAATAGTCTGAGGCTTTAATAATCAAGCTGTGATATTTGTAGACAGAATAAAATTGTAAGAAGAATAACACTACCCTTCTTGTTAATTAAAAGTCAAAATTGTTCCACATTGTTTTAAACAATTTTTTCATTCAGTTAATATTGACACAAATCATGAAGTTATTAAGTGACTCACCCTATACAGTAATTTTTACTTTCTGAATCAACATCCTGAATTAAAATATTCAATGAATCTTTTCTAATGAAAATATTCAATCTAATATTTTCTTGGATCAATTGTATATCTTCCTTGACCAAAATATTATATAAAAAAGAATGTAACTTTCAGTAAAACGATTCTAATCCACATATGCTTGATAACATAACATACTACACATACACATATTAATACACATATGTTTAATAGTACAAAATGATTTTAATCCACATATGTTTAATATGTTTAATCCATATATATTTGCACAAAAGTTTCCAATGTATCTTTTAATCTCCGTGGTTCTCCCGGTAAAGTAGATCTGTGACTATTGTACGTGTAACAGTGAAATATACGTCAGAGAGGAAGATTGCAAGGAAATGAGCTTTTCGCAATTACCTGTTGCGCAGCATTCTGCAGATTCAACAGCGGTTCCGAGCTTCTTTTCAGGAACAAACGGATCTTGTTTTCCCGAGGAGGTGGATCTTTCTTGCGCTGTGGACTCGGTGCTTGGTAGAGCATTTTGTAAAACACTCTGTAAAACAATAAATTTTATCACTAATAAAATTGTTCGGAGTATCCTTTCTGTTTAAGGACTTCGGTCTAATTGAATTCTTTCCTTCAGTAAAAGCTTTTTGGTATCAATTTGTTGCTAAATAATTAATTTATCGGAGGTTCTTTATGTACATCCAGTAGGAAATTAGAAAACTAGATAAACGTAGGAAAGTAAGAAACTAGATAAAATAAAGGTACTTGTGTGTCATACATATTTATATAAAATTAAAGAAGCGTGCAACAAAATTCATTGTAAATTCAACATCCTTCAAACTCGCAATTTTTCAGCAAAACACACATGATAGGTGCAAAATTATTTTTAACTAACGCACCAATAATGTTTACACAGAAACTTATATATTGTGTTTTGTAAAATACGTCACTTGTTTTTGCACATAAAAAATGTCAAAGGTAGCAAAAACATAATTCGGTGCAAAGGAGAAAATGTGCCAACAATTTGTTTTGAAAGTCAAACTTTTAAAATTTCAACACCATTGACGTCATCCATATTTATTTGCTATAAACTCGATAAACAATGTCCCCCTTTGGAATTTGTTATTGTTGTCATGAAACGAGTGAAATGTTCAAACCACGCGAAAAAGAGAATGTAGAAAAATTATAATGAGAAGTGGGATTAGAATATAATCTCTAAAAGAGCAAAAGATTAAGAGACATTTCAAATATGAACCTCGATATAAATGAACATATGCATTTCGAATGATGCACGAGTTGTTGAGGGTTTATACTTTAATACCTTTTGAAGGATTACTGATATTAACCCACGAGTTGACGTATTTCGCAGAGCTACTTCAATTAATCAGAATAAAAAAATAACCTAACACGTATTTTCGACAGTATTTTAGTTCTTGTGGTCGCACTTTTTGAAGTCTCTCAAGTGAGTGATACTACTTGTGTGAAAGCAGTTGATGTTATTATTCTTATCTGCATCATGCGCCAACTTGTGGATTGCCATCTGTACATTGTTCGTGTGTAAAATTAATACGAACCTACTTCTTGCTGCTAAAACAGCCCTAACAGCACAGACGGGTTCTCTGGTGTCACCCACGAGGAATGTTACGTCGCATAGTTCTGGCATACTAGCCAGAAACTTCATGTCTTCGGCCAGGCCGGTCTTATTCTCGAATGTAGAATAATCCGACTCGTCGGCCACCCGCGACCCTGAGGCCTCCGGCATCGTGCTGGTATTTTCCTGGAAAGAAAATTGTACAAACCTAAACTACAACATGTCACAATTTCTTGTTAAGTGACTAGAAGTTGCAGTGCGTAAAAGTTGCAATCTCATAGTGTAGTACATTGTTACAGTACGTCTTCATTACTAATGTGACTTGTGACCATAACCTCAAATACAAAATAATTGAAAAGAGGGAAAGAGAAAGCTAGATTTTATAATTATCAATGTTTATAACAAATGAAATTCAAATATTTCCTACTGCATATTTTTACTGAGAAGTGTTGCATATTAACTGAATAATATCTTAATAACTCTCAATATTTTCCTCAAAAATAAACTTAATTATTCTAATCATGAGTCTAGAGTATAATATTGACCGAAACACCATTTTCAAAATGAAATTTATTGTAAGAGGAATTCTTTCACAAAAAGTATGTGATGGATACAGTATAAATGATATATATACTACATTCAGGAATTACAACTTTCAAGATCGAGGTTCCAACCTCATCATTGATCAACGTAATGTTGCAGTAACACGAGAAACGGCACTTACGTAAAGTACTATAGGAACGGTGGATTTTTTTCTAGAAATTAACGACACGAATGCTAGAGTCACATTCCGTTCCATTAAACCACCATCATGCTACCGGTATAATGTACAATATGTTATTATAATATATATCAACGGAGAAAACTTTCTGAATTCTTCAAAGTACAAAAATTTTAGTCGAACTGAAAGACAAATACTTTTGCATATGACACAAGATTATTAATTTTACAATCGATTTATGAATTAATGAGTACATTGATGATTATTGAACCGATGTACACATGAATATTTTTCAAGATTTGCATTCTTCATTATGAAAATATAATACAAAATATTTGAAGTTAACTTGATTTATTAAACAAAAATGACTAATTTTAATAAATGTGCAAACTTGTGACCTGCCACAAACTTGTGATCTAAATAATCTCATCATAAACTTTTCACGTAAACAACATATCATTTATTTTTCCTGTACATAATTTTTTAAGGGTAGCTTCTTGTCCCTTAACTGCCAGTAAACTATAAAAAAAAAGTTATTTGAGAAAAAACAATTCCTTGCATGATCGAGTTTAATGCATCTATCGAACCGAACAGTTTAAGAGTTGCCGAAGAAAAAATGAGGCGAAAGCACGCTTTAATGGACGAAATGCACTTTGCTTTGCAAGTCCATCGATAAATCAACCCCGGACGAAAGGCTTAACCACCCTTATCTGTAACGAGCTTTGTTATCTACGATGCAGTTAACCCACTTGCCACAGTAGACCCCTTTAATCTACGTTCTTAGCAAACCTTCATTTAAGTTTGACCTTTAGAAAGTACGAATTATTTAAAACGTTTCAATTTAAGCTCCGAGAAGCTTAGTATACTGGGATGAGGGAATTTTTAGTCTATGTGCATTATTTGCTTGAGAAAATATTTTGATTTTGAGGTTATATCATTTTTATTTTCATAGTATTTACAGGTTAGGAACTTGACATTGTATAAATTAAATTGAATTATTGTGTACATTAAATAAATTTAATTAATAATGGAGAGGTAGTTAAATAATTTTTAAACCTATGGAAATTTAGAAAAATATTTTTTTGATTGTTTATTAACAAATTTCATAAACCAATGGTAGACAAATATTAAATACTTTGATAACGTAGGACGAACACATGCATATCAGATTGTATTTTAAACTTTCACAAGTGATAATATATCAGATACTTAATTCTATTTAAATTTGATATAATCATCGTACTGTAAAATACAGTAAGAACAAATTGTGATGAACGTAAACACTTATGTACCAACTTACTACATTACTGTAATTATACGATTAATATTAAGTAATAAATTGACTTCCATATCATCACGTATATCATCACATATATACCACATATTCAAGTACATAAAATTACAAAAAAAAATTCCAACACAAACGAAACTAAAATTAACGTAAAATTAACGTAAAAATACCTGTAAAAGAAGTCTAACATTTTTAACCGATACTAAGTATTTTCCGAACATGACAAACATCTGAGCAGCAGCGAAAGTCAATGTCAGACTCTTAAAGCGACAAAACCAAGGTGTCGCGTAAAATTACCTGTTGCTCGAATCCCGGGGCCCTGTCGCTCGCCGGGTCGCTTTTGCCCCGAGAAAACACTTTTACCTCACTTCCTCTGTTCTACGATCACGCATAATCCACCACACGCCACGTTCACGAAATATCCACGTAATCAGTCTTACAGCATCTCGAGTCTCACATTCGACCAGCGACAAGAGAAAAAACCCTTAATAACCGAGAATGAACCTTCCCAACCGGCCACCCCTTTGCACTCGAGGGTCGTTTTCAGGGCCAGAATATCCAGGGATCGTTCCAGAGACACGCCTGTCACTAGCTACCCCGTGACGCTGACGTCGTTGTACGATTTTTCGTCTCTCACCCCCTACGAAACACGCTTCGACCCTTTCCCCAGAGGTGCACGAGGGGGTGGCGGTGTTCGAACACTGTCGCTTTCGTGAATGAACGTACGAAACTCGAAATCGAGGCTGGCTTCGACCACGATGTGTCACTCGACTGCGCCGACCAGCTACACTCCCTCGGGTTAGACCACCCTTACTGCGCACTCGCGGCCGAATTCGCCGAGGGTGAAATGCCCGCTGCGCCTGTGCGACCCGATGCTCCTACGAAGGACCTCTTCCGTCCTCCTTTCTTCCGTCCACGGACTTTTAAATGTCACCCCGGATACCGGTATCCTCTCGGTAACCCGACACTATTGATTTCGTCTCGGATGGGGGTTAATTTCGTTTTCACGCGGAGTTCTCTGCGAAATGTTTCAATTAATCTCTTCGGGGGTTGGATTTCACTTTTTGCGCAATCCGCGAAGTTGTTCAGTAGGACAGGTTTTGTAATTCATTAATTAAATGAGACAAATTTTGTAAGAATTCGTAAGTTAAATAATAGGACAAATTTTGTAAGAATTTATAAATTAAATAATAGGACAAATTTTGTAAAAATTCATAAATTAAATAGAACAAATTTTGTAAGAATTCATAAATTAAATAGGATAAATATTTTAAGAATTGATAATGAAAAATATACACCTATATGGGACACTAAATTCAATATAAATTTAAACTTGCATATCAGTGTCTAGACACTGACTGATCTTCTGTAAAGAATAAAATAAAATCTCTTCAAATTTTCTCAATTTTTTAAAAACATCTGTACTGAGGTTAATGAAACTCCTTTAGCCTAGAATTATTTAACAAGGCTTGTATAGTTATGTTACTCAAATTATGAACTCCACTTAAATTCTGAATAAACACAAATAATATAAAACGTCCTTGAGTCTAAAATTAAGCGATCATGAACCTTTTCACATCTCGCTGCCCTAAAGCGTTCAGGCATGAAACCATTGAATCTATGCCTTCTTTAAGAAGGCAAAACGTCCTACACGCTTAGAATACCACTCTGAAAATAAACCTCAGAATAACAGGAAGAGAAATCTTGTATAATGTTGCCATGGGGGTGAAGCGAGATGGAGACTACTGTGCCACAAGGTTGTGAGGGGAATGGACTTTGGATGACAGAAATAGTAGCATGAGGATGTTGCTTTTTCTGTTTGGGTTAGTTGCGACGTTTGCTTGTTATCTATATGACATTTTCAGATTGAGAAATTTTGAAGATCGGTTCTTTAACAGGTTTGTCAAAGATGGGGTGAGTTATGGGTGAACTATAAATATCTCCTAAAAAAAAATTCTTTAGAAATTCTGAAGATGAATTCTTTAACAGATTAATCAAAGATGGGGTGAATTATGGGTGGACGATAAATGTCTCTTAAAAAAGAATTCTTCTTTCCAAAAATTTTTTCTCAAATTTCAAAATATTAAAATATTTTTCAGAATCCATTTTACAAAATACAATTATTAAAAATATTAAAATGTATCAGACGACTAATTAAAAAAAGTTTCCTAATTTAAAAAAGTTCCCTAATTTACAACTCGAGTAATGTCTGCAATTCAAGTCCTCAAATAAAATTGTAAGAAGACCAAAAAATGAAGGGTGGTTTCTGTAAAAGGATTCCAAGGTCCACTGATTAAATTGTGTAGCTTTATATCAAGATCGTATAATTAGTAAACAGTTGTTGATTCTACATAAAGAAGCTTTAGAGACGTTAGATAGAGTTCACTCTCGATTTTTCATGCTGGCTTACAACGCGAGCAACGAAAGTGAAGGTAACGTGAACTCCACCGTGACGAATCCGGGTCAAGCTCAAAATCTGGCTCTGTGGACCACAGCCATTCATGTCTGTGGAGGAACTTTCGTCTCCCTCTGGCTGCTCCCGTCCTTTTCTACTAATCAATAACCAACCCCGCAACAAGTAGCTATCCCGGCCGAAAGATGGGGAAAAGAACGAGAATCAACAAATATCTGTCTTTTCGTTAAAAAAAAAAATCATTTTCTACATTTACAGAAACGCAATCATGACTCCATTAAAATGCTCCCTCAAAATAAAAAAACAAAAAAGTAACTATGTATCGTTAAATCTTATATAGTATAATATTTTAAAATAATCCAAGAAATTATATTTATTGAGAAACTTTGAAATAGTTCAGATTCTTCTTCAGATTGTTTTCAGATTCTTTTTATGTAATTGTACAAACTATGTCACTGCTCTTTATTATAAAAGACTGAAATATTGCAAAAGACTATACAAAAATTTATCACAGGAAAAATTGTTTTCTTCCAATATTAACTCAGTGAGACTTGAAGTATAATTTTTAATATTTTCCTGTAAATATTTTCGAACGATTGAAACATATGCGTGTCCTGTGGACGACGGACGTCGACGACGCCTGCGCGAGAATAACGAACGATTTCATTTTAGTGCCCGCAGCCCTCGATAATTGGTAAACGGTTCGATAAGCACACGCAACGCCTCTTAATCTTATCATTAATTAACAAAAATATAATCCGCAACCGATTATTAAAATTTCGATATTGATTTTTATTAATTAACCTCGTTATCCGTTAAGTAATTAGGGGAAGTTAATTACAGATTTTCGTGGAAACGATCAGTAATGAAGGAATATTGCGTCGAAATGTTTAACGATTTGTTACTAATTAGGTGCAGGGGCGGAGCGTGCCTGGAAACGGAAATTTATGATCAAACCGAAATAGTTCAAGGTTGATCAGAAGTGTGTCATGACCGAGTTCCATGGTGAACTCCTGATTCAATATCGTGTGCAATTATGCAGCGTGGGCGCGTCAAAGGAATTCACGTTGCACTAACAATGAATGCAAGCTCAAAGGAAAATAAGCTGTGTACTTCGGAGACGTCGGGGATGGAAATAACTGGAGATACTTGTTGATGTTGCAGTTTCAAGCATTGATAGGATTTTCAAGTTTTTTAATTTAGGGGGTTGGGAATTTGGAAATTCGGGACGTAGGAAATTGGAACGTTAGAAAATTGGAAAATTGGGAATTCGGAGCGTAGAGAATTTGGGGTGTAGGGAATTTGGGACAATGGAATTTTGGGGTGTAGAGAATTCAGGGTGTAGGGAATTCGACGCGTAGAGAATTCGACGCGTAGAGAATCGGGGACGTAGAGAATTCCACACGTAGAGAATTCGGGACATAGGGAACTCGACGCGTAGAGAAGTCGGTGCGTAAGGAATTCGACGCGTAGAGAATTCGGTGCGTAGAGAATTCGACGCGTAGAGAATTCGGGACGTAGGGAACTCGGGGCGTAGGGAATTCGGTGCATAGGGAATTCGACGCGTAGAGAATTCGGGACGTAGGGAACTCGGAGCGTAGGGAATTTGATGCGTAGAGAATTCGGTGCGTGGAGAATTCGGTGCGTAGGGAATTCGGTGCGTGGAGAATTCGGTGCGTGGAAAATTCGGTGCGTAGGGAATTTGACGCGTAGAGAATTCGATGCGTAGAGAATTTGACGCGTAGAGAATTCGGTGCGTGGAGAATTCGGTGCGTGGAGAATTTGATGCGTAGGGAACTCGGAACACCCCTAATTAGAAACACAGCTCATTCGAAAATCTCCCAATTAAAAACTTTCGAAATCCAGAAATATCAGAAGCTTAGAAATTTAGCTAACCTAAATTCTCAAATTGCGTCCCTACCCTCATTGTCCCGAGTGTCCTGTTTCAAACCGTCCCCGTTTATTTGTCTTTCATTAAGCACAAAAGACACAATCTCTCTTCACAAACAAATACTCGTAAACAATGAAATAGCAGTTTTAAAGCGAACGTTTAATCCTTGTCATTTTGTTTTTGCACCGCGAATAAACGTTTATTTTGCAAACACTCGAATGTAAATAGCGCATCCCCAGAAATCCTATAATTTGTTTATCGATTCAATAAATCACGGGACGCGAATGATAATGGTAGCAATAATCGTTGCCCACAGTGTTAACGTAAAACAACATCGATTTATTCAACACAAATACTTGCACGTTACGATAGAGGTTCGTAGTAATGATAATAATGATAATAATATTCATATGTGTATATATACAGGAAATAAGGCACGTTCGATATTACATTAATTAACGTGCGACCAGTCGTCGCTCGGCTGTGTCCATTACATCATTTATCATCGTATCTTCATCTCGCACGATATGCAACATCCTTACCAAATGTAGAAAATGTCATATATATATAATATATATATCTATATCTATCTGTATAAACGTTCTCGTTGAATTTCATTCGTCCGTTCATCGACATCCTTCGAAGATTAGAATCCTTTACACCATCTTAAACCTATATTTATATGTATATATTTATATATACTTCTCGCCTCCATTATTCACACTTTCCTAGGTTTCGGGAACATCTCCACGGTGTCTTAATACCACGGCAAGAACTTTCGTTCTAGAATTAAAATTTTGATATTCGATTTACTGTAACACGCTCTGTACTGATGGAACTTATACAAATTTACAGATTTGTATTATATAGCTTTGGATTTTGTGGTTCTTTGTAAACTGGGGAACTTTGCTAATGGGTTCTCTTAGTTATAAATTTGATATGGTCGCTCAAGGATTAATTTATAGATGAGTATGTTATTTCATACAGATTATGCTGTAGACAAAAGTTTAATATGTGATATGTTGACAGCTTCAAATTTTACTTAGGGTCTGTTGTGAGTATCTTCGTTTTAGATTTAGTTGCTGAAGACATTTATAACACAGTTCAATTTAAGATATGTTAGAAATTCATTCTATTTACTTCTGGGTTTTATAAACCCAGAAATTTACTCTGAACGCTGAAATTCAATTACAATGGATTCCAAAATTTAATTGAAGCAGTACTCTGATACTTCATCTTTCAAGATGGCGGAACACTTGTTCTAAACATGATACGAGTGACGATATGTTATGGATATTCAAGTTCGTTTCATTTCACCATACAAAATGCTCACTGGTCAAAAAATACTTTCAACCATCTAACAAAAACTGTCTAACAAATATTCCCTATCGACCCACACAGCACAGAACGTGTTTCATCATTAAAATCCTTCACAAATGTTCCCTCCGAATGATCGCAATCATCCACTCGCGTTTCGAATCACTAAGCACAGAAAATGGAACTATGGACAAACACGAGCTTTATCATTAACTGATAATCGTTAATTATGATCGTATATTGTCTCGAAGTTTGAAGATGTTTGAAAGAAAACGCTTCGAGCTTGCTTGTGTCTGACGATGAATTTCTGATGATCGAGTCACATATGTTGAAGGTGGCAAAAATTAGTGTACAATAATGATTTTGACGCAATCAATGACGATCGAAATATTGTACAATGTTCCACACACGGGCAGAGGCATTCACAATTTCGTTGGCACGCACAGACACCTGCAGATTATGTTATTTAGCGGAATCTTAATCTTTTTTAACCCTTTGCTGTCTTCACTTTTACTTGTAGCTTTCTTGCATACTTGTTATAATGTTATTTTTCAGATAGGTTTAAAATTATTGGAGAAGTGAATATATAAAATAATTTGCCAGGATAAAATATTGACAACTATCATACATTTTGTAAAATAAAATTGATATAATACTGCACTGTTTTTAAAATTTGTCTAAAATAATTTTTCTGTTGCATTCTGTATGAATGACAATAATTTTTTGAAATAAATTTTGTCAAAGGTTAATGTCAACATGTATTAATTTAGTTATATTAAATCAATAATCAAGCTTACAATTTATCCTCTGATTTTGCTTTAAAATCAGTAGAACATAGTATGCATCAAACTGAACAAAAATGTCAAACATTTATTAACAATGTTTACTTAAAACGAGCACTGTTATTTCTCCAGTTATTTAAAAGTACATAAAAATAAATCATGTAACTGCACAAACAATATATTATGTTTTGTGAAAGGGAAATGAAGGAATCAACAAGTTGTCTGACCACTGGTTGACCCATACTACTGAATATTGATCGTTCTACGTTTCCTACTAATAAATTTAGACCACTTGTACTTAAACTTAGATGAATATGCTATTACAGTCTTAAAAATAAATTTAAAATAATTTTTACTGTTTAATAGCAACAATTTAATATTAAATTAGAATTTAATATTATCTTTTCCACTGTATGCAAGTGTCTAAAAATTTGCTCAGCATAGTCTTGCTGAATTTAAAAAATGTCAGACAGCAAAGGATCGCACGAATTCTCGATGAACCCGTAGCTCAAAGGGAACTCACTCTGCAACTTAATTATTTTCGCACATACACTCGGAAAACTTACATTAGGCGGTATCTAAACTGGCATCGAGATACTTTACATGAATGTACAAAAGTCTTCCTACACCGTAATCGGAATGTGTACCTTAACTTCGTTCGTTTCGCCGTCCCTACGCACTACGTATGAGCTAAATTAATTAGAAAACAATATTTCTCCGTCGTCGTGGCAGAATTACAAATTGTTGGCGATCATTCTTGCTCAACGATTGGAATGTTAGACGCTATTGTAGGAGCTGAGGACGTGGCAGAGAGACGAATGGTGCACAACGAATCGTCAATTTTATACATCTCCATTTTTTTTATAATTTACTCCATATCTGGTTTATTCTTGGTTTATTACTATAAAGTTTATTCAGGATGCAATGAAAATTTAATTCACACAAAATTTCAGTGAATTTTTCATTCTGGATATCTGTTCTTGAAAGTTATATACTAAATTTAAATTAAATAGGATTTATATTATTACAATTTTTTTTTCACATACAAATATAAGATCACACAACTTTGTTTTTTTATATATAAAATTATGAATTTTATAAAAAAATTTTTAGACTAAATTAAATATGGAATCTCCATTGTACACATTAAATTTCTAAATACAAAATTTTACTTACAACTAACGATTCGTCATTCACCAATGAAACAAAATCACCAAATCGTCTCTGAGATGGCACTCGTATCTCAGCTCACAAAAATCGCTCTTTAAAACAATGATCTACGATCAAAAGCAACGATCGAAGACCGATGTGTTCGTTTATCAATCTCAATAAAATGAACGAATTATTTGACACGCTTTTCGCTGTCATTGATGCATTGATCCGCTCTTTGTAATCTCAATATTAACCTAAATTATATATTCATCGAACAACACATTCGATGGATAAGTACTTGTGCAAAGCTATGTAACTCCATTATTTAACATTCAACTCATCAAACTTTTTAAACGCAACGATTCAACTTCATAAACTATCCGAGGAAATAGTGTCACTCGTAACTGTTAATCTTGTGTTGATTAGGCGCTGAAACCTTCTTTTATATTTTCATATTATTTGCTATCGCATTATTTGTTGGCAACATAAAATTTAACTATGCATATGTAACCTAGTGTCTAAAAATTTCTAAAATAAAGATGTACAATTTGTCGTATTATATATTCTCATTTTCTCAATAATCTCTGCAATAAAATTAAATAAAAACTACTAATGCCACTGGGCAAGTATCACTATGTCCCATTACACTATCTAAATTTCTCCACGATTCGCAAATAAATTTACGTAATAAAAACCAATAAAAACTGCTAGCTCCAAGTATTGCTATAATTTGTAGTGCTACATGTTCTTATTTTAATGAGCTTGCAAAAAAACTCGTCAAAGAATAAAAATATTAAGGACAGTTCAGCTAAGGTGTCACATTTCCCAATAAACTCGTTAAGGAATAAAAACGACAATTACGAGCAACACCGTCCAACTGACAAAAAGCACTCGTTAACAAGGAATAAAATTAAAAGAACATCCCCTCCTCAACGAGCTCTTAAAGAAGACGAAGAAGAAGAAGATTGAAATCCTACACCCAACTATTTACCGTTTCACGCTCCTCCGGGAAGCTTTCAATCCTTCAATGCCAGCGAAAGCATTCCTCGAGCCACAATCGACTCTCGATCACTCACAAAGTGTCCCGGGGTCTTTCATTGTACATCGATTACAGCATATATATCGAAGGGACAGTTTTCTCCTCGATCACCCCTCAAACGACGTTTCTATTGCACTTCTGTCTTACAACTTAGAAAATTACATTTCGCCGTATCGGATCTCTTCGATGCTTTAGCGCGTGTTATCACGGAGCGTGTTATTCGTCTCGCGATGGATCTCGAGTGTCTGATCGATGACGTTTCGGGACGTTCAAGCCCCGAAACCACGCCGCCTATCTTCCGAAACGGGTTCTAGCGACGGAGTAACGTTGAACAGACACCCAGGAACCCGGATGATCGAACTTCCGGATTAGATCCTTCGATTGACGACGCGAAAAGGCGCGATATCACAGCTTCGTTGGATCGTAATTCTCGAAGGACCACCTCTGTCTCGCTGCGCTCGGAGAACACTCCTCCATGATCAGACGCTGTTTGCTCTCCGTGATCGCCAGACATTTGTCACTGCTGCCGTGTCTGATCTGCTTCGTCTGAAAACAAAATCACGTTCTATAGTGTATTTTCTTATTTCATAAAATATTATTTTAACTGTTTTTATAGATATTCAAACATGGAGAAGTTCGTCCACCTCAAATAATAATTACATAGTCAACGTACATAGGGTGTACACATAAAAGTATATACCGTTGGATTACTATTAACGAGACTAAACCTAACGATGTAAAAAAGTGTCTCATCATCTGACATCATCAGACCTGAGACTGTTTGTCAACGAAAGAATAATGGAACATTTACTACAATTATTGTGACGTGATAATAAACAGGGTGCAGAGTTTCTCTTTTCTTTAAGTGGACTTAAGTAAAGTTCATAATATTGTATGCATACATATATTCATAGTATATATGATATATAAAATATGATATAGTATGTATTCATAAAATATATAGTATTGTATATGTTCATAAAATATACAGTATCGTATATGTTCATAAAATATGTAGTATGATATATGTTCATAAAATATAATATAGTATATATTCATAAAATAAATAATATTGTATATGTTCATAAAATATGTAGTATTGTATATGTTCATAAAATATGTAGAATGGTATATGTTCATAAAATATAATATTGTATATATTCATAAAATATATAATATTGTATATGTTCATAAAATATAATATAGTATATATTCATCAAATATGTAGTATTGTACATGTTCATAAAATATAACATATTATATGTTCATCAAATATATAGTATCATATATGTTCATAAAAAAATTCCCTTATTTTTCCTCCACTTACAGTATATACTTTTAAGAACCTCTACAGCTAAACCAAGAAAGTAAAAAACTAAATATGAAATTCAGTAGCAACACTCATAAAATAAAAGAGAAAATAAAAGAACAAAGGGCAAAATCATAATGGTGAGATGATAATTATTTAAGGGTTGATGTAGTTAGGTTAAATGTGAGGATAGCATACCTGAGGATTATAAATCCATTGTTGATTACCCTTGCTACCGTGACATGGATAGAGGATGACATCGGTGCCGCTGTAATCCAAGCACGACTCGTCTCGGCGGATCTCCCCGGTCTTGCTCAACATCCAGTACTGTGACAAACGATCAAGATTAATGCCCACGGATTTTGACCTCCAACGTTTGCCTATGACCGATGGTTCTGACAGCCGTGTACCTACGTGCGCGTTTACAGAAAGAATCCCGGAAACGCGGGAATGATAAAAACGGGGTTTCCGCCCCGATTCGTTCGAAACGCGTACAAAAAATATTTGGGATTCCTCGAATCGTGAATTTGAAACTGTCGACGATTCGGGAATATTTGTTAATGAATTTGCATTCCTGCGTAATTTATCGAGACTGTGATATGAAATATTCGTGTTTATCGTCGGATTTAAATTTGAGGGAGAATTTATTTACTTCCTGATATTTCGAATTTTCGGGGAATTTGGGAATTTATGAATTACGCGATTAAAATTGGGTTTGGGAAGTTTACTGTTGTTTATTAAAGATTTTATACCACGAATTAAGAGAGAATGATTTTCTTAATCGAAAAGAAGTTTCTTTATTAAAGCTATAAAAATTCAAGACCGTAGAACTTCTACGTTGAAAGTCATTAAACTTTTTAACGCAAACGCAAGACTTTGTGTTCGTAATTACTATGACAATATAGCTGTTTCGAATTTGCGCGTGTAATGGTCGGTTAATACTTTAAATCTCCTGACTCTTTGGAAGGAAATTGCCTTCGGGGTGATTGAAAAAGAATTTTATGTAAAATGTAGCTGCAGATATTTACAACTAAGAGAGTGGAGAATTCATTTATTACGTGGAGAATTCGGGACGTAGAGAATTCGATGCGTAGAAAATTCGGTGCGTACGGAATTCGACGCGTAGAGAATTCAACGCGTAGGGAATTCGACGAGTAGAAAATTCAGTGCGTAGAAAATTCGGTGCGTAGGGAATTCGACGCGTAGAGAATTCGACGCGTAGGGAATTCGACACGTAGAGAATTCGACGCGTAGAGAATTCGATGCGTAGAGAGTTTGACGCGTAGAGAATTCGACGCGTAGGGAATTCGGTGCGTAGGGAATTCGACGCGCAGAGAATTCGACGCGTAGGGAATTCGACGCGTAGAGAATTCGACGCGTAGGGAATTCGACGCGTAGAGAATTCGGCGCGTAGGGAATTCGACGCGTAG